TTCTCGTATTTTAATATAATACTATTTCAATAATTAAATTGAATTAAATAGTCTCGCATTTTATAATTTACTATAATGTTAAATAAATACTTGTTATTATGAATGCATATTACTGTTATACTACTTATTATAAATTACTCTAGARTGCGCCCTTGCTCCACAAAGTATCCACGAATGATGTCTTGGAGCTAGACAATATTCAATAGGAAAACCATTATAGTAGTATGCCTCAAACAAATATATAAACATTTATTTTATTGGATGTTTTTACTTTTTTATACTTATAATTAATAAAGATTTTTAATTTTATTTATAACTTATAGCACCGCATATATTATTATGGTTACAAATTATACTATAATATTTGGGATATATATGAGTGTAATGAATAATACTGAAATCGCTTTTATTTGGTTTAATTTGTTTTTCAATTAATTTTTTAACCATTCTTGCGTTTTTGGGCCAAGCACATCGTCCTTTGAACGCCCATGAGTCAGGAACAGCCTCTACACTAGGGCTGTTCGATTATTTTTGGGGGGAATCGATTATGATCATGCACAATTAATTGAAAAAATCGATTAATTGAAAAATGATTAATCAACCGATTAATCAGAATCGCGATTAACCGATTAATCGATTAATTTAATTAACGATTAATCGATTATTTGTAACAATCAATTTATAATTTAATCAAGAAGTAATTAAGTAATTAATTTATTAATAAGTTAACAGTGCAATTTTATTAAGTCTTGAGTCATAACCGAATATAAAGTTCTAAAATATCCTGATTTGATTAATAGATTTATGACATAAAAATAAAACTATAAATCCTTTTGAAAGTATTAGCAGTTAGCACTATTAAATATTAATCAAGAGTTACTACTTAAAAAACTAAATTTTGCAAAAATACATTGTAAAGAATATGATTTTATTATTTTTATTAGATCTTGTCGACTTACTATACTGGCCTACTGATAGGTTGCAAACATTTAGAAGTTTACAACTTAAAATTATTGATACTTATGTCTTATAGTGC